CCAGGAGAAGGCGGTAGAGCAAAGTGCGGCCTAATCTCCGTTGGGCTCATCCGTAAGGGATAGAGGGTTACCCCCTCGCACGCGCGGGGGTTTCGGCCGGGCGCTCCGCTTTCCTCTACATATGTAAACACTCACCAATCGGCCGCAAACACCTCAACACACACAGCCTCCCGTATTTGCGGATTGCGCAGCTGCGTAAACGATGCAGTTGCCTAAATGAAGACACTGTATAACTAAACACGCAGGGCGCATGCAAGTCGAGTCCAATCTCGCAACGTTGCTTAATTTGGAGCGCGCAATCGGATTCCGAGTGCACCGTAAGCTGGCTTGCGTGTGCAATATCCATCACCTTCCACAACCACGGCGGCCGTCAGTCCGTTCGACACGGCTGCGTCATCGCGCCTGCCGAGGCTGATTCAGCGCGCGCTGAAGCTGGACAGCGCCCCGTTTGTTGGTTTTGTTGTTTGAATGTGGCAATAGAATCACACGGGGCCACGGCGTCAATGCGCCGGTGTCACACCACTCCGTGGACGCGCTCGGCAAGCGTGAGCGAGCGTGCGGCACGACTGCCGCTGCTCACACGGCCGCCGCATACGGCTGCTCGGAAATATGCGCGGCCCCCTTTGCATGGCCTCGACATCGCTTCCACGAACGGGCAAACAACATTGGCGTCAGCTTAGTGCAATCGCACTGCTGTACTGCCTGCAAGGGGCGCTATGGTTGGCGAGATGTTAACTACCTCGCCTGGTTTACAGGATGTCGTGGGTTCGATTTCGACCCTGGAGTTTGCATGTTCTCTCCCCGTGGTCGTGTGGACTTTTTTCCGGGTTTTCCCTCCACGGTTAGAATCAAACTTGCGTTGAGAGTATTTGGCTGATATAAATGTACACACGATGAGCCACTTCATTGGGCTATCATTTGTGGATAGGTCGCTTCTGAAAAAAACAGCTCTATAGCTCAGTGGCCCTTGCTTGGTATGAAAAAAAAACCTGTTAAGTTTCGTTTTCAGTTTCAAGGGACCCGTCGTGTCACGGTGGAGGCAGAAGGATCTTGGCTGTAGGATTGTACAGGTGTGTGGGGGGGTACTCTATTGTGTCCCCTGTACCAAGATCCACGAAGGACAACTCTGTTATGAGATAGTAAATAGTACACTGATGTTATTTAGGTAGCCCGCAAAGCATCGCTCATCCTATGTAGGCTTTGGTTTAAGCCTCTCCATATTAGTAGCAGACGGAGATATTTGAACCGGAAATTAAAGCTCGTTGAGATCACTTTCTCCTATGGAAAGGAGACCTGATTAAATAATAATGATCAATAATGAAGGTAATAAATAAACTAGTCGTCGTTGACTGGGGCATTTGAGCCAAGTCACGACATGCATCTGCACCACTATATTCCGGTCTGAATGATGCGCTCCATTCACACGTGGGAGATGCACCACCAATATGTCCCGAGAACAGTTATGTGGCCGCATCACCCGTGATGCTCCCGATATCGCCTGAAGCTCGGAAGATGAGCAGAGATGAGCTTGCATAATTGCCTCGATGAGCGTCCCCCATGCACACCAGGTTGCTATAGGCTTGCTTAGTGGGCAACAGAGGGCAATGAAGAAACGTCTCCTGTTGTACTGCACGTCTATTGCTCCCACGTCCCTGCTGCCCGTTCTCACCGGCCCTCGCTCACCTCCACGACCTGCACGCGTGGGCAGGTCCCATCGTTGAGCAGTGGATTGACGAAATTAAAATCTGGACAGAGACTGTGAAGGGCCTCCCCTATGTTGGCTCACCCTTAAGTGAGTATCCGGCGCGGTGTGTGAACATCGCCACTAGGGAGACAAAGGCGGATGGGCGTGGTGCTGGCCACCCACTTTCTAATGTGTCGTGTTACGCTTTTACAGCGCTCGCGAACGGCACTTGCCCCAGCAGTCTGGTAAAGGCTATACGGGTGGGGGGGGGGGTCTTTGCTACACAAACCCACATGTGGTTTTATGATTGTGCGGCTGATTGAAATCGTCACTATATCATTCCTTTACGAGACGGCCGCTACCTGGAACTCGCCCTGAACCCTGCCTATGCCACTGACGGTGCACGTTGAAAGGGAGCAGCAGAGAAAGGCGTGAGCTCAACAGACTGTAACTTGGGTTTTGGTGGACTGTCGACTCCGAGAGGAGCTGTGGGTGGCGTGCAGGACCTCGCCAGGGCTATCGACTGGGCCATGTCACTGTCATCATGTGCCCGATACTGCACGAGAGTGCACTGTGGTGGCGTCACACAACTAGAAGGCTTTAACACGGCTACAGCACACGATACGTGGGACGATCATATTATTTGGGTCTTTCGGTAAAGTCAAGTGACTTTACCGAAAGACTCAAATCACGAAAGCTTGAAGTCACGTGGAATGTTGCTGTTCGTATGTACACGCACGCCCGTAATTGAGCCGTGCATATTGGATGTCATAGAATGCGCATGCACGGACGCATCACAGAACAACACGGTTAGTGTGTGCACAGCGGAGGTGCGTGCTCACAAGCACCACGCAACGTCTTACCCTCCATTAATGCGACGACGCACGTTTTTCTTTTTAAAATTAAGCATTGCCCAACGGCCAACTCGCCCCGAATGCGTCCGATCTCGCCAGATCTCGGAAGCTAAGCAGGCCTTGAGCCTGGTTAGTACCGTGGATGGGAGACTGGCTGTGTTGTGGGTAACTGACGTGCGCGTTTTGATGGCTGGGGGTGAAATGTGGTCAGCAAATGGCAGCACATTCGTGGATTATTGAATCCATCCGTGCGGAAGCTTGGCGCACAGATACCTATGTTTGAATTCGTGTACTTCCAATTTCCTGCTAATTGCTAAAACGCTCGCGCATGTAACTTGCCAAAACACCCCCTTGCAGGACCCTCCTGAAGCAGGTCTTGAGACTGGGTGAGGCGATCTTGGGTATATAAAGAACATGGATATGAATGTATTATTATTTGAGGCTGTAGATACAAAATAAACATCCCTGCTCTATAAAAGCAATATCCGGAGATGAAGCCACCCGTTTGTTGTTGTTCAAATGTAACACCGAGTCCAGGGGCTCCTTGAGCCGCACCGATGTACCCTGAGACGCGATGGAAATCGATGGTTTACGCGTGTGCCTGATTGCCCACAGCCTGGCAACAAACCCCCTCGTGTAAACGGCTCGGGATGGCCGAAGCTTTGTGTTCCATCAAACGCCTCTGAACGCGCCGACGCCGCAGCCATCTCTGCAGTTTCCGTCCGAGCACGTGGAGACGGCGGAGACTGAATAAAATTGCGTGCGACCGCGCAGTTTCTGCCGAGCGGTCATCCCCGGCGTCTGGGCTCTTGTTGGGTGGAGATGCTGGCGAGGAAACTGCGCCGTGGCCAGGCGACAACGCGTCCTCCCCTCTCGTGATTTCCTGATTGATCGATCGATGCGCTTTATTGGGTCAGGCGAGAGACTCCATTGAGATTCATTATCGCTCTTGCAACGAAGAGCGGTGACCCGTGGCTAGGGTTAGAGGTATGCTTTGATTTTTTATATTTTATTTTATTTCGGGTGAACTGAAAATTTGCGATTTTGGGAAGTGTTACCACTGTCTGGACAGTTGGATCGATCTGACGATCGATGGCGTCGATGGGACTTTAACGTGCCTTGTGCACTTTTGGTAATTCCTCGCAGAAATTTGCGTGGTGGTAGTGGGTGGTTGGATGGAATCGAACCATGCTGTCCGTGCTAAGTGGCTCAGGAGAGCGAGCGAGATGGAGCGCTGACTGTGAGAGTTACCCCTTGAATGTAAATGGTTTCACTGCGTGGACATTTTTTTCGGTTATAAATTGCCTTCTCGACTCCGTAGATTCATGTCGTACAGCTGTATAGCTGGAGTCTGCCTGATTGAGAGTTCTCCTCCCAGCTATAATCTTGTGCGACGCTCTCAAAATGCAGCCACATTACCTGTAATGATTCAGGTTATATAGGGATACGCCAACGTTCCAGTGAGGCTATAGACTACGCCAACATTCATATAGACTGCCTGAATAACTCAGACGGGCTGCCCCGTCAATTAAGGCAGTAACCCGTGTAAATTGACTAAGAATAACAACAGAGAAGTCATTTTTTTGTATTGGTCCTCAACTGCCCGTATCTTTTTTTTTGTTCGAGTGCAATGCCCGTCGCTGCTTCCCCGTCGCAATGTTCACGCCAGCAGCAATTCGATGTTAAGTAAATGTTCGGCCAGAGAACGCTCGCTATTGTAGAATCGGTTAGTCCTGAGTTTTTGTTGTTGTTGTTGTTGTTGAGTTGATGAGAACCACGCTGGTTTGTATAACCCTGACCCGCTCGCTTCTGAGCGCGCTCGCGGAATGAATTCAAGAGGTCACAGACGCTGCGGAAGAATCTGACACCTCCCTAAGAAATAACAATTGTCTAATTGTCCAGCGCTAAGCTCTTCTCCGTCCGATTTTTAAGCGCAGGTTCTCAATTCACAACGAATCCCACGTCCAGCTAATTGCGTAAATCCTATATATATTCACATAGTTTGAAAGGGCGCCACGGAAGATACTAGAAATGGTCATTTGAATAATAAACCAGGAAAAGCTTCACGCGGAGACTCCATGAATTAATGCGTGGCATGATGCGGGAGACGAACCGAACACCCGGAGGAAACGGAGGCATACGACGGTGCAATGTTGAAAAGCTCAGCACAGATGGATTCAATGATCTACTGCCTGCACCGTAGGCCACATCACAGCCCAACATCGCAACACCAAGCATTCCATTGCAGTCACCCATCCAAGTAGTAACCAGGCTCAGCCCATGCTTATATTTAAACCGTACGGCGGAATCTGGCGCATTCATTCAGGCTGCCAATATTATTAGGACATGGTTAAAAAAAAAAAAACCCAACGCACACGCACGATGTTCACGAATGCGCAAAGGTGCTCGGCGGCAATAATTAAAAGCAGCGCCTCGCCTTGCGGGGAGACCTCCGCCCTTACCGTTACATGTGCGCAAAGAGCCACGAGCCGAGACGCGATATTCCACGGGAGCGAGACGTCTGCACACCCACGTCGGCATCGCGGTATCCGTGTGACCGTGAGAGCGGCACAAAGAAGGAAGAGAAACCCACGCTACTGCTCCCCCTTTTCTTTTTGGAGAGGGCCCCCCTCCTCCCCGTCCCCGTCCGTCTTTATCTTTCTCTCGGAGCGGACTTGAGACGGACGCCTTCACAGCGGCAGTAGCGGCAGCGGGAGCGGCTGTGGACGAACGGACGCGATGCTCACACGGTACTGATGCCAGGGTTTCCACTCTCTCTCTCTGTCTCTCCCCCCTCCCTCCTCCCTCTCGTGCGCGCGCTCTCTCTCTCTCTCCACGGTTGGGTTAGGAGGAGGGGTTGTGGATGGGGAGGTGTGTAGGGGATGTGGAGGGGAGCACACGCATGACGCATGACGCTGATATGCGTTCTTAACGAGCGCGCTTAGTGTAATGTGGAATTTAGGGATTTTATTGTCGCGAATCTTTTTAAAGAAAGAACAGAGCGTGCGGGGTTTTTTGTTGTTGTTGTTGAACGTTTTGTGTGCGTGCCGTTAATGGACACATTGTGATAATAGTGCATTCCGTGGCTTAGACGCGCGCGTACAATGCAGAGGAAGGCGGTTAAAGACTAACAATAGAACCACGTTGATGTTCCGCAAGTAATCTAATCAAAGGTGCTCGATACGTGTTACGATTTGAATGCGGGCCATAGCATTGAACAATTTGATAATTATTTCCAAGGTCCCTTTTGTTAATCCACCACGCATGGTCAGTGCTACCGAGTCTCGAGGTTGATTTTGATGAGGGTACTGCACTGGGATGTTTGGCCGATTCCATTCACGAGCGTCTGGCGCGTGGGATAAACGCACGCGTAGCGACCGGAGAAATTCCAAGACGCACACGAACGGGATATTGGCCAAAGATCCGCACAGATGTATTTAAGAAGCCACCGTAGTACTAACATCTTCTGGCTGGCCAGCTTTCACAATGCAATTCGTCTTGTTAAAAATAGGAAACGGACAACCTCTGACCGTGTGACCGCCACGTCCACACAACGCGTATATTGCATTTACTCGGCGCGTGTAAATACTTAAAACGTGACATACACCACGTGGAGGTTTAAAAGCACACGAGATCGATGGCCATTCTGACATTTTATGATAGCTGATTGTGTGATAAAAACCCAATAGGAAAACGACATCGATTTCGCCCCCCCCCCCTCTCCCACATTGCGTGGCCTCCTGGATGCCTCGGCCATCAGGGGGACGCGGTGGTGGAGGTGGGGGGAGCAGTGACACAGCAAGGGGGCAGCCACGCGCTTCCCTCGGACCGCCAGCGTTGCCCGCGGGGACTTGAGGCGCCGCTGCCGTTGCGAAACTTGAGGGTGTCCTCTCGATCTCACCCGGGACAGTTTCCCACGCGTCGGCCAGCAGGTGTGTCCTAGACGTGGTTTGACAAATCGGTGCCCAGGTAGGCACAGCCGTGTTGTTTATTGCTCTGATGTATCAATATTTCATTTAACATACAGTGCTTGTAGATACTGCGTAATGTATTCCAGTGTATTTGATAGATATTGTATACTGCATGACGTGTTGTAGTGTATTTCATCGACATTATATACTGCATGACGTATTCTAGTGCATTTGATGGAAATTATACGGTATACGGCAAAATGTACCCGAGGGCATTCAATATACGCGATATGCTACATCATTTATCATAGTGCAATTAATAGACATGATATAGTGTGTAACGTAACTAGTGCAATTCATTTACATTATATTCCGTACTGCATAACGCATTCTCGTGCATTTGATAGACATATTCTGCATAATGTATTCTAGTGCAATTAATATGCATTATATACGCATAAAGTATTCTCGTGCATTTGATAGACGTAAAGCTTTATGCACCCTAGTGCAATTAATATACATTATATACTGCTTAACATCCCATTGTATTTAATATAGATTATAGAGTACTGCACTGCATAACATATCTCGTTCATTTGATATACATTATTTACTGCATAACCTATTCAAGCCCATTTAATATACAATACATTATAATCTGCATAACGTATTCTCGTGCATTCAATGCATACTGCTGTAGATCATCATGTTACGTAATGAATTTTCACCAAGAATAGTGATGTCATCTGGAGATGCAAAGCATGCTCCGATTTCTGTCCGTGGCACTTTTCTCACGTGTATCGAAGCACGCTCATGATTAGGGCTGTCGCATATTAATCCCATGCGTCGTCAGTTACTGGCACAGCTGTTTGAGTGCGCAGGCGATGCAACTGCACCTGCGAAGAGAGTGGGGGGTGGGGCGCGCGGGGGGGGGGGTCCTTCGAGAAGTGGGGCCCCATTTCGTTTCTTGCAATAGGGGCCCATGCGAACCACGTGCACGCTACTGCACATCAGCAGCCAGAACGAAAGAGAGAGAGAGAGCGAGCGAGCGCGCAGTGGCCTGGGCCTCCGGTAATGTGAGTCTGGATCCACGTGGGGGGGTGTGTTGAATCCGATGCAGCTGTGCGACAGACTTTGCACCATTATACATTGCATTCAATCCCGGCCACGTGCAATTCGTACACGAGGATATTGAGAGATTGCGGCGAGCACCTCGATAGGTACGAGAAATTGTTTGCGATGTGCGGCGAGAATGAGATGAGAAAAACAGTGACAGCCACTGAATATCCGTGAGGTTGTTTCCTGCTGCTGTGTGGCGACTGGTGTAAGAATCCACAAAACAAGGGGACCATTCCACTCAAGTGTTTTCACGTACTCTACACAATGAGACTATACACTTACCGCGAGTGTGCTCACATCAGATCGTTGCTATGTCATAAAGTAATGAACACAACATATGCACGTGCACAATGGCATTTGGATGTTTGAAACCAAAAATAGTTTTGTGTTGTAGTTTCTTTTCCTGTGTTTATAGGTATCTAATAACCATCCTCTAGAGGGGATCTCTAGCGCTCCGCGCACCACTATCAACCTGGCAACCCGAGTTAAATTCCCATCCGTGGCTCACATCAGTGGCGAGTGACATATGAAGCAGTTGTGCCCCTCCCAGCCCCCTTCACCAACCTGCACTCACTCTTTCGTTGTACAAGGTGGTCCAGATGACCCCCATTGAATTGTCTAAAACGTAATGTTGTTGTATACAATGGGTGTGAAAACAGAAATGAATAAGTAAAGGAAAAAAAAATAGGAATCAATTAATTGGGGGAGGGGGGGGGGTCACATGACATATGGACCACGTTGTACAATACGGCCAAACAGATAGGCCTTCATCCAGCAGTAGATTGACGCAGGGCGATATATAAATACATGGCAGGATGGTATCCACACTTTCATCATCTTACCATCACCACCATCTAGTGTTTAATTTCAGCTGGAGCAGCCCAGATCATTGCTCAATGAGTTAATATGGCACTTCATGTTTTCTTCATCACATGAACCAGTTCGCAGGCTAATAGGACTACAGCGTACAACAACACAGCATTATAATACAGGCTATGTATGGATAGGCTTAACTCCTATTCTAGTTGTAGTGCCTTATGCCGATAATCCCTCCTCCAAGGCTGCCTAGCGGCGTTCCGTGAAATGCTGAGTGACAAATTAAAGCCCCTGCCACCCTCCATTGCGTGATTCGATTGCCGTTCACCAGCCAGCGAGAACCAATTAACAGATCACAATTGCATCATAATTGCATTCAGCTTATGCAGCGGTATAAGCTCACCTCTCAGCATGTGAACATTATTATATTCTTAATTAAACCAGGTAAAGGCGGCTGAGCTATGCGCTCTGTTTGAGAGGCGACCTTATCGTACGTGGGAATTTATATTTGAAGCCAAATAATCTCAACACACCGTTCGAAATAGTTGAGAGCAAAACGCGTCCACCACGGGGGGAAGAGAGAGCGACAGATACGAAATCCAAATATGCAACGGGCATCGTCAGGGTCGGGATCTGGATCCAACCAGTGGCGGATTATGCTCGGAGCAAAAGTAGATACATATGCTACGGGCCCCGCACCTTCAAGGGCTCCGCGCTAAATGCTTTCAAGCTATCAATTCCGGTTGAGTGATTCTGCACTTGCTCTATTAATATAGTACTATACTGCCTTCAATTTTGATGAACGACTGGGTGTTTAAGGTTAGCGATTTGTCGTATTATCTGGCCGTAATACAAATGAAATAATACTATTACTTCTATACAAGTTCAAAATGTGTGTTTTAATGTTGTTGTGTTTTAATTTTATTTATAGCCCCTTTATAACATGTGCTAAAGGCCCCACACTAGCTTAATCCGGCACTGGATCCAATCCACGCACTCCTGCATAGCAGGCGAGGGAGATTAACATCTCGCCACCACGCCCGCCCCCCCATCTTATCTCCACCGTACTCTCTAAAGCCATTGACACGCTGCTCTGGGTATACCGAGGCCGCTTTAATTGCGGCAATTCAATCGGTCGCTGCCGAAACGTCGATAGCTGTTTGCGGTCCTTCCTGCGGCACCCCGCGCAGTGTGTATGCGTTGAACTTCTTTTGCACCATACGTAGCCAACCGTGCTGATCGGGTGAGGGATCTTGCCCTGCCACCCCACCGTGTCCCAAGCCGAGGGGTCTCCGTGGGCGCTTGAAGATCAGCAGGGCAGCACTGGGGAGCCGGTCGGTTGGCTGCGTTAAGCGAATTATTAATCGTTCTTTAATTTGTTTCTGACAGCAGCTTCCCCACCCCCCAATCCATTGCTGGATAAGGGCCTCCTCACATACAACCACGTGGGGTCCTCTGTAAGCCGTCACCATTGGCGTCTCGTGCTGTGCGTGAAGCGTTGATGATGTTCAGGGCCACCGTAATTGTCACGGTCTGTAATTGGCTACAATCCGTCACGTGCGGCGTCGTGCAGCCCCTTTCATCAGTCCACTGCTGGATGAACACCTTCCCGTACTGTGCAGAGATAGTCGGGGGTTGGTGGGAGGGGGGCGGCGGAGGGGGTTAATTGACCATACTTTACCGCGCTGGTCAGGCGCCGGTTGGTGACGCTACGGGGAGCATAGACGTCGCCGCGTGGACGACTCGAGCAGACGCCGGGATTTTGCTGCCACTGCACATTACTGCTCACCACGTAACCCCGCAGGTGCCCTGTTGTGTCACCGTTGTCATCCATCCAAGCACCTGCCAGGCTCTCGCCTGCTTAGACTCCGAGATCT